ACAAGACGTGGATATAGGTATGATACGAATACCTCAACCCCTCACACGCTCATCTAACGGTTGAGTGGACAAGACGTGGATATAGGTATGATACGAATACCTCAACCCCTCACACGCTCATCTAACGGTTGAGTGGACAAGACGTGGATATAGGTATGATACGAATACCTCAACCCCTCACACGCTCATCTAACGGTTGAGTGGACAAGACGTGGATATAGGTATGATACGAATACCTCAGCCCCTCACACGCTCATCTAACGGTTGAGTGAACAAGACGTGGATATAGGTATGATACGAATACCTGAACCCCTCACACGCTCATCTAATGGTTGAGTGAACAAGAAGTAGAAAGTGGAGAGCAAATAAAGAAAGCCTTAGGTAGCAGTCTACAGTAGAAATGGCCTGACTCTGAAAAACAAGGCACATGTCGAGGAAATGTAAACACAGCAGATTAACCCTACACAACACATATATACATGTATATATATTTGTAAACTGCATTATATTTACAATACACATAAAGCACTGAGAAGTGTATAAACCTCTTTTTTCTATGTATGTCACTTATGTGAAAACCATGGTTACCACATCAAAAATTACCAAAAAATGCCAAATAATGCTGTTTTTGACCCAAAATTTGACCCCCGCAACTAGTATTTTTTTTCCTAAGTTCTGTCTGAAATTAAAGATTACCTACTTGGTTGCAGAATTATCTGGGTCCCAGTAAAGTCGTAAAACTTCATTTTTTGCAATTTTGCGTCGTGTGCTGTTGTCAAAAGTTTACCTCCTGTAAAGCTAGCTTTTCATGTGTAGGCACCCTTTCGGATTATGGCCAAAATATTATTCTCGAACCAAAAAAAATCTATTTTTTTACAAATGTGAAGCTCACATAACCCACTTCATCATGCTTATACCAATTTTAGTACAGTTTTATTTTTATATTTTTTTTATATATCATTATACAGGGGTTAGCCAATTAGCAAAAATATCACCCATGGCCACAACCCTCTACTGTATACTGCTACCTTAGGGAAGTGACGTAGATATAGGTATGATAGGAACTCAGGCATGTAAAGCAGGTGTTGTGTGTTAAGGTGTGGTCATGTCAAAGTCACGTCCGACTGGTTTGGTCACATTCCACAGAACACGTGTACACTTACTGGATCAGGTTACGTATACAACAGGTCACACAAGTCATGTAAAACAGAGCAAACTCCAATACTAAAATATCTAACATGGGTTACACACAAAACTGAAGGCAACACATGCTCTGTTCCTGATGTCATAGCAATCTGGAGCGACTTTCAGAGCAAATAATAATATTGATGTCAAAGCTGTCATCAGGGTTCTCGTTAAAAGCCGTCTATTTCCGTGTCTACAACCTGCTATTCTTTAAGAAATATTGAGTTTTTTTTTACAGAATTGACATATCCATACCGTGATGATTTGATCAATATCAGCAAACAACAACATTGACTTAACCAGTTGGACAGAATCAATCAGAACTTCCGGGTCTATTTCACGTTTCTACTTTTATTCTCGATCGTTTACATAAAACAGCAAGATCACCAATGCGTTTGAATTATACCAAGGCGCAACAGTACTGACAAACGTCTTATTGATATAGAACCAAATCGGTGAAAAATGGAGCTGTCAAAGAAAGGAAAAAAATATAAACGATTTCTTTGTCGCCCAGAACAGAAATACGAGTGATTTGGGCACTGTTATTGGCAAATGTTCATATTTGCTTTTAATCTTATCTAAACTGTTAGCAAGTTTTTTCTGTCGGTAACTTCTGAATCACGTTGCGATTTGTAAGTGAAGTCATCAGTCGCGAGGAACACCCTATCAGTCTCGTGAATTTTCATGAAATTGCAACTTTCAAAATGATAATTAGGTGTGTCTCGTAACAAGCATCAGTATAATTTAATTGCGAACTTCAAAAATACTCAAAAGAAATTCTTAGATAACGGCAATGTTCCTGGCGATAATGATGAGACATTCACATTGTGTTCATAAAGGGGGGTAACTTGTGGTGTACGAAAAACAACATCCAAATGAAGTGTTGACAGTTTTGTAACAACTTCTACGTCAAAATTTTGAAAATTTGAGATATACATAGCAAAAATGACCTGTAATGATGTACAGAACATTAGATATTAAACAAACTATGATGGAAAAAAGTTTTGTTTTCGTTTGACTTTTTTGCAGTTCTCTAGACAACATTTTTGACCAGTTTGGTGAAATTGGGATATATATATTTACACCCACTCAACATTTAAACATTCTACTTATGCATTTTATATCTGTCAGATATCTAGACAGAGACTTTCAGTGACAAGCCCCAAGCTGGCTCGTGCCCATGAATTGACTTCTCATACTTAAATTGGTATCTGTTTTTAATTTAATGATATTAAAAAAAGTTTCTGAAACACCTCTCGACATCTGGAGCAATGCAATTTTTGTATTGAGTTTTCTACATGTGTTGATTATTTACAGTTTTCCGATATTTTAACAACATGTTGTTCAGGCTGGCAGGCAGCTTCCTCAACCCTGCTTAAGTCTATTCATTTGAGGATTTGAAGAGGTAATTTTTAAATTGATATACTCATTGGATTATCTTCACATAATTGATGTTGTAAATTGTAGTTATTATTTATTTTTAATTAAAAACAAAATTTCAAAATATAATTTGATCAGATTTTTCACACTTTCCTAACAAATATATTTCATAAATTTCCAAGAGGAATTGGTAAAATAAAGTTGAAACTCGCATTTGTTTTTGTTTTATTATGAATATAAAAAATACTTGAAACTGGCAAACAGATCCAAAAATGATAGTTGTAATGTGTGGATTTGTTTTCAAGTCTCACTGAATTTGAAACATCAACAGATAAAGCAAAAGAAAATATTTTTCAATTGTTTCCATAAAACTTTTATGAAAAACTTCCTACAAATTTCATGTAAGAAATTGTTAATTACAACACTCAAAAGTGCTCAAATGCCACCTACAGTCATCTACAATTTCAAAACTTTCTGGGGGAGACTCATGATTTGCCTTAATCCATGCTCCATTTCATGCATTTTTCCTCGTTTTCTGTGATGTCATTTTCTGGGGTTCCTTATAACGTTATCGAAACACAGTTTTACTAACTAAAAGATATGTTCCTGAATAATTATTTGAAAAATATATCATACATTTGTGTTGACTGCTTTTCAAAGTTTAACAAGATTTTAAAATAACACTGATTTTGCTACACAATTTTATTTTTTGACTTGCAAAATAATGTGAGTAAAATTTAATTTCCAAGAATAAATCACCATATCTTACAACTAATTCCATAGGAAAATGTGAAAATATTGTCAGATAAATAATCTGTTGATTTTCTATCAGGGGATCATATTTCTTTTCAGTTGCACAAAACTGCTCCAATAATATTACAACATTTATAATAGTGCCCTATATAATTTGTAAAATTACTCTAAGGTAAGGTACACGTGAATAATAGTATTCCTACAGTGACAGTTATAAATAAAGTAGATCAAAAGGTATACAAATCAGCATTACACATGAAATAACGATACATTCATCTCAATATGCATACAAATAAATATATATAGGGTGGTATGTACATGACATCTGTACAAGAGCCTAAAATGAAGACTTAAAGATGTGGGTCTTTATATCATTCTTGCTTCCAAGAAAATTTAATGACAAATTAACACAGAAATGAATGAAACATTGATGAAACTTTGGCAAATCGCGAATGCTCTTGGCATAATGCTATAACACTTATAAATAACAAAAAATATTTGTTAGTGCTTTTAGTGTTCTAAAGTCCATTTCTGTATTAAATAAATCATATTGTTTATACATTTTCTAACATTTACAAAACAAATAATTAAACGGTCTGTACTTCTGATAACATAATCATGATTTTCTGTGTGAAGTCTCATGTGAGGTTACTTTTATATTAATTACAGCCCTGTAATTCAAATGACATGACTTGATTTTTTTATGGTATCTATATCATCCTTATGATCAACTTTAAACCAAATCTTTTATAATTATTCTAAAATTAGTATCTTTGTTGTTTTATTTTAATACTGAATGCATTTACTAGAGCATATAAATACACACAAAAAATCATCATTGCTGAATAGTCATGACCTGAAATACCAGTTCTCTGTATATAGCTACCAGTCTATTTTTAGCACAACCAGTCTATTTTTAGCACAACCAGTCTATTTTTAGCACAACCCGTCCATTTTATACATGCACCTCATATAGGACACCCCCTGATATCGGAAAAAACGCGACTCGCTAACGAATTTTGACAAAAACTTTGTAAAATAATTGTTTGGTTTTATTTCATGTGAACATTGAAAAGTGACGAAAATATTTCATAAAAATTAACCTTGTTTTGTGTCATGTTACACATGTATATAATGTATGTAACATAGAGAAATGAGCGTGAATATTTAGTGTTTTTGTTGACCAAACAATTGGACAAGATATTCATACAAAGGGTTGTTTTCTGTCCCCCCCGCCCCCTCCCGTTCCTTTGCGAAGTCTAAAACAGATTCTCCCCGATTGGTTAGTATGATTGTGATGTCATACTTACGTCCTGTAGATTCTAGGAACTGTTTTACATGAGTTTCACACTCAGTGAACAGGTCTACATCTGACGTCCATCTAGCTATATAATGTAGACAATGCCACCCGTTATTACTTACAGCTGTAGTTAGTGCTGGGTACGACTCACACAGATATTTACAAATCTCCATGTGTCCCCTACTACAATTATAATGTAACACTGTTTGCCCGTCATTATCTACAGCTGTAGTTAGTGCTGGGTACAACTCACACAGATATTTACAAACCTCCATGTGTCCCCTAATACAACTACAATGTAACACTGTTTTCCCGGTTTTATTTACAGCTGTAGTTAGTGCTGGGTACGACTCGCACAGATATTTACAAACCTCAATGTGTCCCATCATACAACTAGAATGTAACACTGTTTTTCTCCACTTATTCACTAACTGACACATGTACTGAGCACACACACAATTCCTGTGCACCACACGACCTTCTACTGTCTCACACTTATGTTGTTCGTCCTTATCTTTATACAAGGATGCAAGTGCAACCCTCTCCACTGTTTTAAATATATCACAGTTTCCTGTCTCTGCCACAAGATGGAGCGTGCTTCGTCCCTCGTCATCAGTGTCGTGTACCAAGTGTGGGTAAGTGTTACACAATATGGTCACCATCTCTTCTCTCTCAAACAAACACGCCTCCTGTAGGACATTGATATTACTAGTTTGATGTGGTGATCGTGTCTCGTATAACCTCGCTGTCTGAGTGACGTCATACTCCAGTAGTTTACATAACATACTCACACTCCCTTGCTCTACCACACAAAACGGTGTCTCCTTGTCAGGTTTCACACCCTCCGACAGGAGGAATAAAACACAATCTTCTGAACCAGAAGAACATGCTCCATTCAACAAGGCAAGCTTTATCACATGGCACAAGTTTTTGTCATCATTCTGACGACTTTTGCATCTAACACAAGCAAATTTTATCTTACAGAATAGGCTTTTGCCAACATTCTGACCACTCATAATTAGCCATGTGATAAATCCCTGCAGAAACTGAATATCTGTCCAAACATCTAATGAAGTTATAGAATGATATTTACTATATTTACTATAAAACCAGTGACTTTTTTGGTCAGAGTTACTGGAGAAGACAGATTCAAACTCTCCAAGTAAACGTTTATACATGACATTGTACTGATTATCAGATGATATAACTACTTTGTTTGGAGTGGTTTTTGAGGTAGTTACATAACTGAGAAACTTGCTGGGACAATTCTGTATGTAGCCAATGGGAGTTTTTTCTCCATACAAAAGGGCCAGAGTTTCCTCAATGGAGTCATGGTTGAATTGGTAACAAACTCTTTGTTCGTTGTTAGGCTCTTTTTTCACCATCCAGCCCAACAGACAATCTAACGACTTCTTCACAAATTCTATTTTCCTCCCCTTAGACTTACTGTAAACAAGCTCTGTTGTTGGGGTAACTTCCACTACATCATCTTTAAATGCTGCTTCTAATAATTTCTCATCAATATTTTCATTGTTAGAGTCTAAATCATCTTCCATAACTTTGCCTCCGTTAAGGAACAGATACATCAGACCATAACATTTTCCGTCTTCCAATTTAGATAATGAAGATTTCAGAAAATCAAAGGGTCTTTTAAAAAAATTGACCCTCTCCGTTTGCAAAGTAGGTGAATCTCTGAACAACCTACAGCATTGTGGAAACCCAATGTCAGGAGCACACTTGACAATTTCCTTCTCTTCATCATCTTTCCATGAGTCAAAACTAACTTTTGGTTTGTACAACCTTAACAATTCCAGTTTTTCTTTTGCATCTATGTTAAGGTCAACAATGTTTTGTTTAGTGAATACCTTTTCTGAGCAAGAACCAGTCAAAGAATTTGAAATTCCACTGCGAATTGCAACGATTAGAAAATTGCCCTCTGTGTGCTCATTTCCACAAAAATTTGAAATAACATATTTTTCTCTTTTCTCCCATTCTTCCACATCTTGTCTACACACAACATTCTTCCCAAAGATATCATCTAAATAAATAACTAATTGTGACTCTGGGGTCACATAATCCAAGTCTTTGATATCATGCAGTTCTAGTGGCTGTCGACATTGTTGCCCCTCCTCATTATAGCACAGCCGACGGAGAAGTTCAAAGGCAATGGATGTCTTCCCGTCTCCAGAATTTCCCTTAATTACCACCAAGCTGTTCTTCATTAGTTTATCGTAGGCATCCTGGAGACTTTTGGTAGGAAAGAACTTGTATTCGTCTTTTTCTTTCAATATCATGGCTGTGGTTCTTTCTGCAAGGAAAAAATAAATCCTGTCCCGTAAGAACTAAAGTCAGAGCAATATTTACCATACATGTTAGAAAGATGTGATTAACTTTTCTGCGCAAACCTTGTTTGCAAATATGGGATATGCTCAATCTGGCTGGCTGATTCGTTTTCGTCTAAAAGGCTCATGGGGGGGATTGATTATTTTCCAAAATGGTATCCAGTCAAAACGCATTTTCATGGTTTCAGAGCTTATTCTGGTGGTTCGAATGAGAGGAAAAATACTCTTTCATGCCCAAGGGTGTAGGATAGGGAAATTCCACCCTCAGGATTTTCCAATTTCGCAGGTTTTACCAAATTTGAAAACCTTTCGGGTGGAATTTCCCTATCCTACACCCCTGAGCATGGAAGAATCTTAAAATATTACCCAGGTGTTTCTGAATCTTTACAAAGCTAGATATGCTAAAACAGTGACATGTCACCAAGGGCCCCGCTGTTTGCCTTAAAGTATAATACATATCCCAAATTGTCAAGCAGATGCCATAGCAGTAACTTTTGATTCTGGAATATGGATAGTAACGCATCATATAAATATATCATGGCTGTGGTTGTTTCTGCAAGGAAAAAATAAATCATGTCCCGTAAGAACAAACGTCAGAGTGAAATAGCCAACATTTATGAGTCTCCAATGGAAGTCAGGAAATACATCTTTAACGTTAAACAATGTAAAGATAACCTACAATATATACATATCTTGATCAGGTATGAACTTGTGAGTTGTGACATTATGTGATGGTAAAGATTGACTTTTCTCTCATTTCCCTGTGTGAAAGATAGAGCTGTCCAGGGTAAGAAAGCGGTGTAGGAAATTTCTATCTTACAACCCATTTCACGTGATGTGACGTCACAATGGCTCAACAATGACGTGACGTCACAAATTTGGAACTCTCCGATGCCGCAATGCGGAAAAGGCGACGTGATGAAATTAAAACCTTTTACGATATATTTACCGTACAGGTTGGAAAAATGTGATTAATTTTTCTGCGCAAACCTGGTTTGCAAATATGGAATATCATCATATACTCAATCTGGCTGACTGATTCGTTTCGTCTAGCCTGGGTGGGGAATTGATTTTTTCAAAATGGTAGCCTGTCGAAACGTATTTTCATGGTTTCAGAGCTTATTCTGGTGGTTGGAATGAGAGAAAAATACTCTTTCATGCTCAAGGGTGTAGGATAGGGAAATTCCACTCTTGGGATTTTCAAATTTTGCAGGTTTTACCAAATTTGAATACCTCTCTGGTGAAATTTCTCTATCCTACACCCCTGGGAATGGAAGTCTTATAATATTACCCAGGTGTTTCTGAATCTTCACAAAGCAAGATATGCTAAAACAGTGACATGTCACCAAGGGCCCCGCTGTTTGCCTTAAAGTATAATACATATCCCAAATTGCCAAGCAGATGCCATAGCAGTAACTTTTGATTCTGGAATATTGATAATAATGCATCATATAAATATATATTTGCAAAGGAACATTTACCAACAGGTATGAATAATCTGACCAGCAGAGTAGGAACAAGAGATCCCAGAGGGATCTTGGCACCCACCTTTGTACCATCTTCATTAGTTCTTTGTCAGTTCGATCTTTTCTCTTCTTTCCTCTAATCTGTTTGATCGAGTCATGTTAACAGTAAATGCACCTTGAGGTAACTTTTGATCTAAACTTAATACTGATGTGTATGAAAGCCAACCTTCAAAGTGAGTTTGTCATTTCACATATTTGCTAGTACAGTACTTCATGTGAAAGAAATAGAATCGATCATTGCAATATGAGAAAGATCTGTTTAGTTCTTCTTTTAATCCATTTTGTTTTTATGATCAGTCTCAAAATATAACATGCACAACGAGGGATCAAGGGGAACCTACATTTAAAATTTGAGAAAGATCCCTCCCGTACTTCCCGAGAAATAGCAAAACAAACTTTCACTATCAAAATCCAAGATGGCTGCCTGTCGGCCATGTTGTTTATCCGATTAGTCTCAAAAGTTGCCCTGCACAGCTAAGGTCCAAGGGGAACCTGCATATAAAATTTGAGAAAGATCCCTCTGGTACTTCTTGAGAAATACTGATAACAAGAATTGTTTACGGACGGACGACGGACGGCAGACGACGGACGGACCACGGACCACGGACCACGGCCGCAGGGTGATTTGAATAGCCCACCATCAGATGATGGTGGGCTATAAATAGCCTGAACTATCTCAGACAGTCAGAAGCTATGGCAGTCACCTTGTATAATGGTCAGTATTATTATATACCTCACTTATAACAATGCACCTTCATGTAAAATTTCATAAAGTTTTAGACTTCTGGAGTCTGAGACAATCTACACAAATGAGAATGCGGTCAGACAGACAGTGTGTAGACAGACAAACAGACGGACAGACATAGTGATTACTATAGGACCTAAATGACAAATGGTTGAGCAATTGATTCTTGCATTGTATTTAAGAATGATTTAGCATAGCTGAATATGAATAGCCTGTCTCACTAGAACTGAATTTGACAATGATAACAATAACTTAAACACAATCTGTTTCCATCAATCAGCCACAATCACAACATGACATATCAAGTTAATATGATTTTGACCTTGGATGGACGATTACATAACAGTTATTGTTTTATACAAATTCAATTATTTTGCATGCTCTTTAACATCTGAACAGTATTATTTGAACTTTTCACTAGTCGCTGTCCCTGAAGATTAGTTTGGTTGATATACACGGTATGCTGCAGCTCTCCTTCATCAAGTCAGATCTTCTTATCCATCCCCGTTCAGTAAACTCACCTATCATAGCTGTTAGCTTAGGATCCCTATCTGTAAAATACAAAGGATCCATTTGATGTTTTTAGATAATTCACAAAACGTTGATTAAGACATGTGATATGTAATTGAAAACATGTATTTCTACTTCTATTCCTATTAAAGTAAAGATTAATCCTCACCATAAAAAAAGAACAAATAATATAAACATTTTTTTACATTTTTACCAGAGAAATCTCAGAAATTATCAATGAGATAAAATGGTATATCTTCACTGCCATTTATACCTATATATAATCACTGCTATGAAAACAATACTTGCTATATGACTTACCATACATTAGTATGTATGCAATAATGTTGTCATGTATCAACCCATGTATTTAAATATTTTGAAACTGGTAAAATGGGATGCATCCTTATTAACAAACATCTCACTGACTGGGATTGTGGGACCAAAATTTCAGTAATTTTCACCTGAAGTCAAGTGTCACTCTAACATGCGTTCAGATAATCTCTAGACTTATTGTTGTTGGAACCTGCCATTCAAGTGCCTCAAAGCTTTTATTTTTTGACAACCCAGTCTATTTATCACCCCATGGAGTGGTTTAAAGCAGCTGGCATGTTAAACATTCTGCTGTAGAATTTATAGTTAGGACCCCATCAGAAAATGGGTGATAGTGATAAAGCATGACCTTTGACCCTTTAACCTTATAAGATGATCATGACTACAAAAATCTAATCAGTTGTAAAGCTTAAGGTTACCACACTATTGTGTAAATTCAAACAAAATGTACTGATGGTTTCATAAGATATCTTGAATGCAAGCATTTTACTTTAAAAGTGAGCAAGTGTGAATATTGACCCGTTACTCTTAGTGAATGACAACAAAATCTAGTCAGAAGTAGAAGTTAATACCATTAGTCTATGGTTAAAATAGAAATGGATTTGTATTGCTCACCTGGTATTAATCTCAAAATTGTAACCTTAAAAGTTTACTAAATTTAAAGGTACTTGGTGGCCCTTCATCTCAGCATGCTACTGGTCAAATATTATCATATTTTGGTTTTCAGGAGTTCTTTGAAGGTTTTGACAAATTTGAACTCTGTGACCTTGAATATGCCTCAAGGCATTCAATTTGAACAAACTTGATAGCACTTCATCCTAGCCTGTTACTTAAATTGCCAAATATCATCACCCAAGGGGTTTATTCAGGAGAAGTGGTATTTTATAAAGTATTGTAAGACATTTAACCTGTGTGACCTTGAATATGGTTGAGGGTCATATTCATTTGAACATACTTGGTAGCCCTTCATCCCAGCATATTACTGACCAAATATATACTATCTCCCTAGGCTTTTTGGTTATTCAGAAGAGGTCGTTCGAAAGTTTTTAACCAATTTGACCCCCAAATGGCCCTAAGTCCTCTACCACTATGGGGCATTGACAACCTTTATTTATTCAATCTTAAATAATTTCCCAAAGAATGCTACAAACCAAATAATGGAAATATTCCTAACGTCTACGCGAGGAGTATGATTTTTAAGATTTCCTATATTCCCCCATTGGGCCTCACCCCTGTGCCCCTGGGATAGCCATATCCTCCATTAAATATTTCTCTATTTCCCTTAGTTGGCCCCATCACATTGCTCCCAGGGGACAATACACTTCATTTACACAGGGTTGAATCCACTTGGCCAAAGGATTCTCCAGTCAAAGTTAAATCATCACTTTTCTCACATTCAAGAATTCTCACATTCAAGAAGTATGCCTTAAATATTTACTTGTTTTTCTCTATGGGACCTGCCCCTCTTCCCTCAGAGAGATCACACCCATCATTTAAACAACCTTGGCCTAAGTATGCTTGAGACCAGTTAAGATTAAAACGACTTTGTTGATACTCAAGGAGTAGGATTTTGAAGATTTACCTAAATTTCCCCTATTGGGCCCTGCCCTTCTTCCCCAAGAGGGGACACACCCTTCATTTATACAGTATTGATTCATCTTAGCCTAGCAATGCTACACACCAAATGAGGTTCAATTCCATTCAGCCATTCAGGACTAGAAGTTTTTTAGTAGTAGTAACCCTAACCCTAACCTGACAGATGGACAAAGGACTGTTCACCACGGCATTAACTCACTTGACATTTGGACATGTGAGCTAGAAAGTTTGTCAGTGTTGTAACTTCATATTTTTTTTTCTTTATTCCAAAGGGGTGAAAAAAACATTTTTCTGTTGTTTTCCTTTAATATAAATACTTCACTAAATCAGAACAAGAGGCCCATGGGCCTTAACGGTCACCTGAGTCCTACAGTATTAATTTTTGTTGTTGAAATATGACGTGGAGATAATGATGTCAATCATCCCTACCAAAATTTTAGTAAAAAGTAGTTAGTATAACGTTAAGTTAAGTTTGTCAGGACCATGAGTTGATCATTCCTAGACTGAGTTTCAGTGAATTCAGCCTATTAGAACTTGATTTTAAAAATGGCTGCCGTGGTGGCCATATTGGATTTCTGATTGACCCGAAAAATAACAACACTTTGTCAGGACCATGAGTTGATCATTCCTACCACGTTTCAATTAAAACAGCCCAGTAGAACTTGACTTTAAGTTTGAAATAGTTTTTCAAAATGGCCGGCCCTAGCGGCCATATTAGGTTTCTGATCGCCCGGTAAATAACAACACTTTGTTAGGACCATGAGTCGATGATTCCTACCAAGTTTAAGTTAAATCAGCCCAGTCAACTTGAATCTAAGTTTGAAATAGTTTTTTAAAAATGGCTGCCGTGGTGGCCATATTGGATTTTCAATCGACCCGAAAAATAGCAACACTTTGTCAGGACCATGAGTTGATCATTCCTACCACTTTCAATTAAAACAGCCCAGTAGAACTTGACTTTAAGTTTGAAATAGTTTTTCAAAATGTCCGGCCCTAGCAGCCATATTGGATTTTCGATCGACCCGAAAAATAGCAACACTTTGTCAGGACCATTGAGTTGATCATTCCTAACAAGTTTCAATTAAATAGGCCCAGTTGAACTTGGATTTAAGTTTGTAATAGTTTTCCGAAATGGCTGGCCCTAGCGGCCATATTAGATTTCTGATCACCCGGTAAATAACAACACTTTGTTAGGACCATGAGTCGATGATTCCTACCAAGTTTAAGTTAAATCAACCCAGTAGAACTGACTTTAAATTTGAAATAGTTTTTCAAAATGGCGGCTATGGTGGCCATATTGGATTTCTGATCGACCTGAAAAATTACATCATTTGGTCAGGGAATATGAATAGAAATATTATTCAAAGTGACAAAAAACAATAAAACCACCTTATTCAATATCTAGCATACAGATTTCAGACTAAAAAGTATTTGAAACTAGCACCTCTGATTCTAAACATGGAAAATGAAGAAATTATAGCACACTGACTCCTTTGAGCCCCACCCTACAGCCCTTGGGGAAGGGCTGGCTCAAAATTTTCAAAGTATCAAACTGTCAACTCAAGGTTATAATTCCAATCAAGTTATTAACATGTAATATTCAAAGTATCATTTGCCATTATAAACCATAATAAATTTTGCCCCCCCCCCCTCCTTCCCCAGAGGGTAAATGTGAGACCCTAGGGTCATAAACCTTAAGATCCTTCCATCTATGAAAAGTATTTGATTCTACCATATCTGGGCCTTGAGAAGAAGATTATTGAAATTTTAGTAAATTCAACCCTTTTTGGCCCCACCCATCAGCCCCTGGGGGTCAGTCAGGGCTGATATGTGCTTATTATCAAACTGCTACCTAATACTGATAATGCTAACCCAAATTGAATTACTTCCAATGGAAATTAAACAAATGTTGGTCCAAAATGTGATTTCCCTATATAAACTATAGTAAAGTTTACCCCCTCCCCAGGGGGAAACGTGAGACCCCAGGGTCAAGAAATTCACAATTTCGGTAAAGCACCTTAAGACCCTTCCATCTATGAAGAGTATTTGATTCTACCATATCTGGGTCTTGAGAAGAAGATTTTTGAAATTTCAGTCAATTCAACCCTTTTTGGCCCCACCCATCAGCCCCTGGGGGTCAGTCAGGGCTCATAGGTGCATACTATCAAACTGCTACCTAATACTGATAATGCTAACCCAAATTGAATTACTTCCAGTGGAGAATTTCCCTATATAAACTATAGTAAAGTATACCCCCTCCCCAGGGGGAAACGTTAGACCCCAGGGTCAAGAAATTCACAATTTTGGTAAAGCTCCTTAAGACCCTTCCATATATGAAGAGTATTTGATTCTACCATATCTGGGTCTTGAGAAGAAGATTTTTGAAATTTTAGTCAATTTTACCCTTTTTGGCCCCGCCCCTCAGGCATCTGGGGGCTTGGGACTAAACCGGCCACTATTTTTGTTAAACTTTGTCCATGGAAGGTCCCTGCAAAATTTCAATGAAATTGGTTCAGGGGTTTTGGAGAAGAAGTCGAAAATGTAAATTGTTTACGGACGCACGACGGACGACGACGGACAAAGGGCGATCGCAATAGGTCACTTGAGACTTTGTCTCAGGTGACCTAAAAATGTAAAATGTTAACGGATGACGCACGACGACGGACGAAGACGAATAGCAATAGGTCACTTGAGCTTTAGCTCAGCTGGTGACCTAAAAACTAAATTCTGTTACAAATGTGTCCAGGTTATAAATGCTGATATGACAGGACTAACATCCATACCTTTGATGTGACTCGTGCCTGTTGGCAGGGTGTTCAGTTTGTCCTTCATTGAACTAACATCGGCCCTAACTGTAGCAACATCTTCCTTTACGGCACCAACATCCTCCTTTACGGCACCAACATCCTCCTTTACGGCACCAACATCCTCCTTTACAGCACCAACATCCTCCTTTACAGCACCAACATCCTCCTTTACAGCACCAACATCCTTCTTTACAGCACCAACATCCTTCTTTACGGCACCAACATCCTTCTTTACGGCACCAACATCCTCCTTTACAGCACCAACATCCTCCTTCATGGCACCAACATCCTCCTTTACGGCACCAACATCCTCCTTCATGGCACCAACATCTTCCTTTAAGGCACCAACATCTTCCTTTACTGCACCAACATCCTCCTTCATGGCACCAACATCTTCCTTTACGGCACCAACATCCTCCTTTGTGGCGCCGATGTCCTCCTTCATGGCACCAACATCTTCCTTTACGTCACCAACATCTTCCTTTACTGCACCAACATCCTCCTTCATGGCACCAACATCTTCCTTTACGGCACCAACCTCCTCCTTTGTGGCGCCGATGTCCTCCTTCATGGCACCAACATCCTTCTTCACTTCACCAACATCGTCCTTCATAGTACTTGAATCGTCCTTCAAGGTTTTGACATCTTCCTTCGTGGCATGGATATCATCCTTGACTTTGCCGACATCATCTGAAGACATACAAGGCAAAGTATATAAATTCAATGCAGGTCAGTGAATTTGATATACATTGGAAAAATTTAACAAGATCCAAGAGAGATCTTTGCTCCAACCAAAGATCCCAGAGGGATCTTGGCACCCACCATTGTACCATCTTCATTAGCTCTTTGTCAGTTCAATCTGTTCTCTTCTTTTCTCTAATCTGTTTGATCGAGTCCTGTTAACAGTAAATGCACCTTGAGGTAACATTTGATCTAAACTTAATACTGCTGTGTATAAAAGACAACCTTCAAAGTGAGTTTGTCATTTCACATATTTACTAGTTCAGTACTTAATGTGAAAGAAATAAAACCGATCACTAAATATGAGAAAAATCTGTTTAGTTCTTCCTTTGGCCATTTTGTTTTTATGATCAGTCTCAAAATATAACATGCACAACGAGGGATCAAGGGGGAACCATATCAAATTTGAGAAAGATCCCTCAAGTTATTCCTGAGAAATGGCACTACCAAACCTTCAATGTCAAAAATCAAAGATGGCTGCCAGTCGGCCATTTTGTTTCAAAAGTAAAAATGAACAAAAAAAGACAGTTGGGAACCTGCATATAAAAATTTGAGAACGAACCTTCCAGTGCTTCCTGGGAAATAGCACTAACAAACCTTAATTGTCAAAATCAAAGAATTGTTTATCAGATCAGTCTCATAAGAAAACATGCACAACTACAGACCAAGGGGAATCTACATGTCAAAGAATTAGATCTATTGAGAAATAGCTATTACAAACCTTCACCGTCAAAATTCAAGATGGCTGACTGTCAACCATTTTGTTTATCCGACCAGTCTCAAAAGTAAACATGCACAACGACGGACGAAGGGAAACCTACATTTAAAATTTGAGAAAGATCCCTCCAGTGCTACCAAAGAAATAGTGATAACAAACTTTCACTGTAAAAATACAAGATGGCTGCCGGTCTGATTAAGTGGGTTTTAAGGTTATTTGGCTGACAAGTTTCACCTCTAATGGTAGGGCTTCATCGGGAAATTCTACATCGTTCTCGACACCTAAAATAGTCGAAGGGGATGGGGGGCTGGGGCTCTCTTTTATATTGTGATGCAATGGACAATGAAATTTAGCCTGGAGCAGATAAACAATGGTTAATAATGAGTAATTGTGATGTCATCAATGGTAGTAGTATTGTTATGGACATTAGGAAGAAAGGAACATTTCTATGTTAGAAGGAAATAACAGTTCACATTGATATATATAGAGTGAATACTAAAGTGAATAATAATAATTCAAATATGTGGAAGAAATCGTATATAGAATATGTGGTCTTCCCTCAGGTGTATGGCCAGACGATAAAATCAATGTAAACTTGACTTTAGGTTCTCTGTACAGTTATTCCATTGTTACTTTACTCCTTGAAAATAGTGTCACAAACGTGAAATCTTAAAATCTAAGATGACTGCCTGGCAGCTGCCATCTTGTTATTTCTTATTTAAAAATAAAATATTCATAATAATGGACCAAAGGCAATCTACGTGTGAAATTTGAGAAAGATCTGTTCAGTAATTCTTCAGAAATGCCTGGCAGCCATCTTGTTTTTTTATCAGTCTTTAAATGAAACATGCATTTTAAGGACTTCGGGGAAATATACAAATGAGATTTGAGAAAGATTCTTCCAGTTATTCTTAGGAAATAGTGATACCAAGAATTATATTAGGACAGCCATGGGACCATGGACAAAGGCGATTTGAACAACTCGTCATCTGATGTATATGACTATAACCTGACAATCCAACTTCTAACCTACCTTTTATATCCAATAGAAGTTCCGCGATGTATTTATTTGTCATTCTGTGGTCCATCTCCATGGTAAGTATATCATCCACTGCCACTACAAACAACACTGTATTCAGTTCACCGTTTTGTATTTCCTCCACACTTTGGCGGATGATGTCCCACCTAGCCTGAAAATCTCCATCAGAAAGGGAGCCATTGGGTGCATGTGCAGCCTCATTGCGCTGCTCACGTAGACGGTCGATGTTGGCTGACAGCGATCTGTCTGCTATACCCGGTACCTTCCCCCAACCATTCTGATGAGGTGGAATATTTCCAATGTTTCTTAGAAGGATGTAAAGAAGTGATGTGTCCAAATCCTTCACAGAACCTTGATACCCCCCACCTTGAGGATACAGAATGTTCTTTTGATGTTGCTTCAACCCAGAAAAGATCTTCCTTTTCTGGGTGGTAAGTACTGCAGATAGTCCTGATAATGGCAACCGAGTGTTGAGCAAATCTCGCAATAAGTCTGGGATGACATCAATGACCACCCTGCAAATTCGTGCAAAATTTGTGGTTTCCTTGGAAGACTGGTAGTTGGTAGCCATCTTTGATTTGGTTTAAATGATGAAAGCAAGGGTGATGCTGGAAAATAGAGAAAATATGTCAGAATCTCATTACAGCTCAGAGCAAGGAGGGCAGGGGTATAAATAGTTATAACTATGCCCTAATGTCCAATAGTCTGGTTTCCCTTCAGTAAGCATGTGTCCTGTGTTGAACAGTGTCTGGCTTACCGCTGGTTATCGTCCATAATGCTTTTGTCTTTTTTGGCTGAATCAGCTTTAGCGGTCAAATCAAATTGATCGGCTTTAAGCTGACATGCATGCTTGTCCTGACCTATCAACCGCTGATGGAACAGTCGGCATTCATCCGTGACGTTCGATGAACCATTATCGTTAACTAACAATGGCGTCGCTGATCAGAGACATATACAGTATGTATTATTAACAAGAGGCCCAATGGGCCTGCATCGCTCACCTGGTATTAATCTCACACTTGTAAACTTAAAAGTGGACTAAAATACAGCTACAGGCAGAATATCAGTGTGACCTTGAATGTCAAACAATGACATTAGGTTGAAAGTGGGTCAAGGTCATTCATTTGAACAAATTTGGTAGCCCTGATTGCTACAGGCCAAATATCAGTACCCTGGGCCTTTTGGTTATTGAGAAGAAGTTGTTTGAAGATTTTAAGACATTTGACACCTGTGACTTTGAAAGTTGGTCAAGGTCATTCATTTGAACAAACTTGGTAGCCCTTAATCCCAGCATGCTACTGGCCAAATACCATCACCCTGGGCATTTTGGTTATTCAGAAGAAGTTGTTTAAATGTTTTAAACTTATTTGACCCCTGTGACCTAGTATATAAGTCAAGGTCATGTATTTGAACAAACTTGGTAGCCCTTCATCCCAGCATGTTACTGGCCAAATATCATCACCCTAGGCTTATTGGTTATTCAGAAGAAGTTGTTTAAATGTTTTAAACATATTTGACCCCTGTGACCTTGAATATAAACCAAGGTCATTTATTTGAACAAACTTGGTAGCCCTTTATCCCAGCATGTTACTGGCCAAATTTAGGCACCCTAGGCCTCTTGGTTATTCAGAAGAAGTTGTTTAAATGTTTTAAACATATCTGACCCCTGTGACCTTGAATATAAATCAATGTCATTTATTTGAACAAACTTGGTAGCCCTTTATCCCAGCATGTTACTGGCCAAATTTATGCACCCAAGGCCTATTGGTTATTCAGAAGAAGTTGTTTAAATGTTTTAAACATATTTGACCCCTGTGACCTTGAATATAAACCAAGGTCATTTATTTGAACAAACTTGGTAGCCCTTTATCCCAGCATGTTACTGGCCAAATTTAGGCACCCTAGGCCTCTTGGTTATTCAGAAGAAGTTGTTTAAATGTTTTAAACATATCTGACCCCTGTGACCTTGAATATAAATCAATGTCATTTATTTGAACAAACTTGGTAGCCCTTTATCCCAGTATGTTATTGGCAAAATGTATGCACCCAAGGCCTATTGGTTATTCAGAAGAAGTTGTTTAAATGTTTTAAACATATTTGACCCCTGTGACCTAGTATATAAGTCAAGGTCATGTATTTGAACAAACTTGGTACCCCTTCATCCCAGCATGCTTCTGGCCAAATATCATCACCCTAGGCCTATAGGTTATTCAGAAGAAGTTGTTGAAAGGTTTTAAACATATTTGACCCCTGTGACCTTGAATATAAGTCAAGGTCATTTATTTGAACAAACTTGGTAGCCCTTCATCCCAGCATGCTTCTGGCCAAATATCATCACCCTAGGCCT